TCTGTAGGGCCTCGGCAGAATTTCTAGCAATCTGCTCGCCGAACGATTTCACCAAAGCCGATGAGTACCCCATCCTCTGCCAAAGGTTCTGCTGTGTTTACCCATTCAAATCTCAGAGTTATCCTGGCATCATTTCCCGCAAAAAAAAAAACAAGCGAGTTTTACGCTGTAATGGCCGGCTGCACTTTGGCCCAACGTTGCCGCAGTTATAATGTCCTATAAAATTGATCTTAGAATTGCGGTTGGTAGGCAGTAGCATAGTCCTCTAGTTAAGAGTTCGGCCAAGTGTTAACCTTTTCACAACTACTTTTGGTCTTCGATGTGATGAAACTTATTGGGTTCAGGGGCGGATCTAGAATTTTTTCGATGGGGGCGGATTTTCAAAAAGAACTGTTTGAAAAAAACAGTCAAAAAAGGCGTTTTTAGGCACTTTTTGGAAAATTTTGACCAAAAAATTGCGTTTTTTTGGCGCGCGCTCCCCCCTCAAAATTAGTAAATATTGGCGCCAAAGGCGCCTTTAGAAAAATTTTAGTGTCGGTCGGCCAAAAGTGGATTTCATAAAAAGTACCAAAGGGACTCTCCCGAGCCCTTTGGGTCGACAGGGTGTCGAATCCCTGAAGAGGGAACGTCCATCCCCCCCGCCCCCCTAAATCCGCCCCTGATTGGGGTCAAGAGAGCTAAGCAGTTTTTCCATTGTCGAGCTGACATGCAATCAAGAACCTCTGTGGCTCACTGAGACAAAAACCGTATTGTTTTTCAGCTGGTTCTTGTATTTCTTCAATTGTCTTTTCCGAAAAATTGATATTTAGCTTTTCTTTCTTTTGAATGAGTTTTGCAAAATGAGCACCAAATTCATCAGTCTGTATCTTGTTTGATTATTATGTGCTGCTCCATTAGAGCTAAAAGAACTATTCATTTGCATTTTTTAATTTCTTTTGTTGCTTATACAAAAACGGCAACGCATTAGAGGCCAAACTGTGCACTGGAAAGGCTCACAGTTTTGTGTCTGTATGTTCCTGGATTCAGAGACAAGTCTTTAAACGTGTTCCAAATGTAAAACTTGCACAAAATTGCCTATTTTAGGAGCGATTTTGAGCAATACAGTGTTTAAGCTATTTTTCCGTGGAATCCACGACAGCAAAGACGATCAAAGAAAATTAGCGATGCTGCGGATTCCGCAACCATTCTGTTTTTGACCTGTTGCGGAGTCCACGTGCAATTCTCAAAATGCATAGTTTGGCCTTGTAATGCGGTGGCTATAGAACGCTGTAGGAAAAAAACATATGAAGAGCAAAATGAACTTAAGGGTATCGGGTCCTTTGTTTTAACCACTGTGGTTGAACGGAGTTTTTCTGGTGAAATTTGAAGGATTTCTTAGACCTGATTTTTTCATTTTGGGAATTTGAAGCTTTTCTGTTGTATTAAATGGAAAAGATGATATTGGAGCTGAGCAACTGTAGGGGTGCTTCCTAGGAAAAAAAAACGGTTTTTTTTCGTGTCCAGCCGTTTTTGTACTCAATTTAAAAGATATTTCGAAAAAAAATTTTCTATGGCTGCCCTACTGACAAAAACGGTTTCGGTTTGGTTTAAGTTGATTTTAAAATCGTTTTTAAATCAATCCAATTCGATTAACAATGTACATTTTACGAACCTAAGTGTATTTTAAATCGATTTAAATCAATCCTTTTTTGAAAATTTTGGATCGATTTAAGTGACTAAAAAATCAATTTAATTCGATTTGGATGGATTTTACGAATCACTAAAATTCATCCGAATCTCACTTAAATCCTCCGTTTTGCACTTAAATCCATTTTAAATTGATTTTAAATTAATCCAAGTCGATTAAAAATGCAGATGCATTTTCATGGATTTTAAATCGATTTAAATCGATCTTTCTTCAGAAATTAGGATGGGAAGTTTTGCAAATTGAGCACCAAATTCATCAGCCTGTATCTTGTTTGATTATTATGTGCTGCTCCAATGGAGCTAAAAGAACTATTGATTTGCGTTTTTCAATTTGTTTTGTTGCTTATACAAAAACGGCAGCGCATTAGAGGCCAAACTGTGCACTGGAAAGGCTCACAGTTTTGTGTCTGTATTTTCCTGGATTCAGAGACAAGTCTTTAAACGTGTTCCAAATGTAAAGTTTGCACAAAATTGCCTGTCCTAGGAGCGATTTTGAGAAATACAGTGTTTAAGCTATTTTTCCGTGGAATCCACGACAGCAAAGACGATCAAAGAAAAATAGCAATGCTGCGTAATAAAAAATCTTGAATGTAAAAATTTCTGAAACAAATCAAGAGAAGGGTCAATATAGATCACATTTTGAACCAAAAAAAAATGCAAGGAAGTCATAGAACGTTCTCAAAATTTTAAAACTAATTGCTCTTTTTATTATGCTACTATACGCTATGGATGTATGA